GGCAGCGCGCACGTAACGAGCCCTTTCTGCGCCCCAGTGCCACGGCCACGCTGCAGGAGCCGGTGTGAGCGGGGGGTGGGATGATAAAGGGTCACAAGGAGCAAGCCCAAGTCCTGGGGACGAGAGGGTCTGGCAGCAGGCTGGGAGCTGGCGAGGCCTTGCCTGCCCCTCAGAGTCACTCCTGTGGGTAAGTCACAGTCGGGGAGTGGGGGTGGGTTGGTCACAGCAGGGAAAGGAGAAGCTGGAGGGCTGGGACGGGGGCTGCTGTCAGTTCCCTGCCACGTCCCGGTGGCTTTCTGTGCCCCTGGGAGTGAAGGTTTGAGGCTGCGTTAACGCGGGTGCCTTTCTCTGCAGTTCTCGGGCACGTCACTGCCGAGAGGAGCACACAGAGATCCCGGCTCTGCATCCGAATCCTCCTGAGCCGAGGCCGTGTCCTGCAGCCCTGTCCTGCCTCCTCCTGCATTGCCACAGCACAAGATGCTCCTTGTGAGCCAGTGCGTGAGTGGGAATTACTGTGCAGAGGGAGCTCATTAACAGCCAGTTCCTGAGGCATTTAACAGCTTGAAGCTAATGACATGAAAGCTATTTAGAGCTGCCAGGTGACCGCGTTCCAAGGCCATCGACACTTAGCCAGGGTTTGCTTCCAAGTCCCAGAAATGAGAATATTGCTGCAGGCTGAGGAGCCACATAGTAACAGACCCTGAGTCACGATCCCTGCTCCTCTCTCGGGGCTGCTGAGGACTCTTTAATTACAGGACAGGGCAAATCAGCCCTGATGAAGTACTTGTCCCTGACCGGTGGTGCTCATGTTTGCTTGCCCGTGTCTTTCTGAGCTCTCCGGGCGGCTGTCACTGCTGTTACATGTGCACACTCACACATGGCCACGCTGTGGCACCCACCTTCCATTCCGTTTGTCCCAGAGTTCCCCTCTGGCACAGGGAGGCACCTCTTGTCACTCTATAGAGGAGGGCATGGAAGGGTGGAGCTCGAGGTTAAACCGACAAACCGGTTACATGTTCCAGTTCTTACTAAGAAAGAAGGCTCTCAAGCTTTGAAAGGCTTTTGAAAGGATTTGCTCTGGAGTTACAAGGGCCCTAAGGAAGCTGGAAATGGAGCTGTGGTCACCAGCTCGTGCTGCTGCTGCCTCCCCTTTAATTGGGAACAACTGAGAGAAAAGCTTTTTCCCCAGACACTTGCGAACCCAGCTTGGTGAGGCCTGAGCTCCCGGGTGGGGATCTCATGGGCATCACAGGGCTGTGCCTGCGCTCGCAACGAGTGGCCTCACGTGTCTGAGGGCACCTTATCATTCCTGGGCAGCTCTTTATCATTCGTGGGCAGCAACGAGCAGATACTTTGTTCCTTCAGCACAGATAACTCTGCCCGGAGTCAGGAAGCGAGTTGCTAAAGGTAGAGCTGGCAGAGAGCAAAGCCGGGAGGCTGGGAACGCACACGGGTAGGGACGGTGCCGTGCTGCTGTGCCGCGGGTCCAGCCTGGCTCTAACCTTCCTCCCTGCTGCAGACGCCCCCTTCTGCAGGGAGGAGGAGGAGGAACGTTGGGTTCAGGCTGGCAGGTCGTGGTTTGGAGCAAGGGAGCCCTCTAAAGCCCTGTCTGTGCGGCTCAGTGCTTCACCCCAGCACTTCTTTCCCACTGGGCATGGCCAAAGCACCAACTTCTTTTAAGCCTCTCACCAGCCAGCACCACACTATGGGCTCACCCGCAGCTATGGGTGGCCCTCGGGTGCTTCAGCTCCGGCCTCTTTTGATTATCCACATGAAGACAGAAGCAGTTTTGGGGGGTGGCTTCTGTGGGTGGCAAAGGAGGGGGGTGGGATGCCGCTGGTGTGAGCAGAGCTGAAGCTCTCCCATGTCTCCACATGGGTGTTAGCTTTATTTCCTGCTTTGCTCGTGGTAGTTGAGGCAGGCACAACTGTGGGGGGTTTGGGGCAGGGCTCGGCTGAGCCTGGAGCAAAGCTCAGTCAGGGGGAAAACTCTGGTTTTCCAGCATCCAGGATTCCAGCAGGTTGGAGCTGCAGCCTTGTAGCCATGTTGAGAGGAGGGTGGTGCTGGCTGTGGTGAAGGAGGAAGGACTCGAGTGTCTCGGTGGTGCAAGAGCTGGAAGGTCACTAGAGGCAGAGGAAACAGGGTCCAAAGTGCAAAACAAGAGCTGGAGAAAGAACCTGGAGTGAGGTAAATGCTCTTCCTGTGCTGCACGTTGAGGCAGTATCGATGAGGAAGCCCAACAGCACTCGCTGGCAGGCGCTGGGGGGGGCCCCATGGATGGTCCCAGCCTCGCAGCGTGCTGGGAAGGTGCCATCCCAGCTCTGCCACAACTTCCTTCCTCCTTGTGGAGGCAGAAATCGTCCTGCTCCTGCAAAGCCACCGTCGCATTGTCACTTCCCAGCTCAAGTCCAAGCTCAGTCACAGCCGGGACATGTGGCTCGTGGCACTGCCGTGGTGGTTCCTCCCGTGCCCACGGCACTGCCGGGCTGGGAGGGGGCTCAGCCCGTGTTTCTCCTCAGTGAGCAGTGGCTACACCTCGGTGGAGTACTCCATCATGCTGCGGGGAAAGGAGAGGGCTCAGTGGAGGGGAGCTGGCTGACTGGAAAGCAACGGGGAGGTGTGGGAACAGGGTGTTTGCCAAAAATAAATGGAGAAGGAATGACACGCTGGTGGAGAAGCCCTGTTTGTGGGAATCCCTCCATCAGCGGGAAGCCAGGGAATGAAGGCTGAATGGTGGGAGCGTGGTGCTCCCTGAGCCCCGCTCAGCTCTGCTCATGCCTGGCCTTTGGGGTGGCAGCAGGGACGGGGTGACACAAACAGGGCTCAGCCCATGGGGGACGGCAGCACCAGGGCGGCCCAGCCTGTGGGTCTTGGTTACATCAGTTCTGTTTCCGGTTCAAAGATTTAATGTGGGGTTTTTTAAAGATGAAATGGAAAATTTGGGCAGAATCATGTCTTGTTTTCACTTGGAGCTTTTCTTTTTCTGAAGGAAAAGCCCAAGTGAAGCAGCCCCTTCCTCTGGTGAGCACTAAATGGTGAACACTTACCATGGGACTCATTTCCCTGGCCTTGAGTGCCTACAACCTGGGTACCTGAGCGAGTAAGTGAGGCCATGGGCGCAGAGGGAAATGGATCTTCATTTATAGGTAACGTGGCTCATCTTAAAAAGAACCTTTGCTGCTGTAGCAGAGGCTGGGCTGGGAGCCGGGGGAGAAACCACCCTGAGAAGGGTGATGGAGGAGCTGCCCCAGGGGCAGGAGCAGCCCCACTGTGCCCGTGGTGGGGAGTGACCCCCTGATGGACCTGGTCCCCTGCTGGAGGCTGGGCCCTGTGTGGGCACAGCAGCCCCTGGCACCCCCTGGGCATCACCCACCTCAGCTCCTTACGGAGATCGCTGTGTTTTCTGCCCAGGAACGTGTTCTTGACTGACAGGGGGGTGTCGGGGATGTACCAGGCTGCAATCAGCTTCACGCACAGAACCACGTGCTGCACAGAGCGAGGAGCAGTGAGGAGCTCCCCGGGCCCAGCCCCTGCCCTGCCACCGTCCCCCCATTCACCCCAGCCT